TACCATCTGACACACCTGTGTATGTGTATGTGTGTACGTGAGTGTGCCTCCAGTATAAAAAAGAGGTCGCCCTCTAGTGTACTCCAGTATAAAAAAGAGGTCGCCCTCTGTGTTGGCTGGTGACCACACCTGTCATCTCAACATATTAAACCAAAGACAGCTCTGATGTTGACACCTGACACAGCTGTCAGAATCACTGGACAGCAGACGTGGCAGGCAGGCAGGCTAGTAATGCTAATTAGCCACGCGACGTGGCTAAGCACTTAGCAGATCAGCAGGTTGGATGTGTGTGAACTCCAAAGATAATGAGCTATATGACCCTGTGCTTTGGTCTTCAGATCTGTCTACTTGAATATAAGACAACCCCCACATCCCCTCACCATAACATAAAAAGCTGACCCTCACCATTACGTCAGGTAATTGAAAAGTACCCTCTGCAGAAGACATACATTTGTGTGCCGTACTGTATATTTTGCCTTGATACAGTCAGTGGTGTGTGTTTGCTGTTACTATTCAAACAAGTGTCTACTGTCTGTATGTTTCTTGGGCATGGAAACACATTTCCTCTTTCTTCCTTACTTTGTAGTTTCTTTTGTGAGAGAACAGTGTTGTGATACAGTTCAGATGTAAACTTTTCTTGTAATATTTTTAATTTGTTTTATGAGACACCAGTGAGGGTTAATCCCCACATGTCACACCCTGTGACAGCAGGGAGCATGTATAAAATGCATGTATGGATGGTTCTTCCCAAGGGTTGGAATAATCAGGGATGAGGGGAGAGAGAGAGCCGGCTTAGCCAAAGGCAAGGTGCTGCAGGAAGGTTGCTTTTTTTTTTTTTTTCCCCTCTACTCTCACTTTTACAGCCAGCCGTCCTGTGCTGGGGGTGAGCTTATCCCTGCAGAACATCTCCCAGCTGCTGACTGCAGGCTGTGGAGCAGAGGAATAATCCAGTAAAGGGGACAAATGTGTTCCAGAAGAGCTGCCGCCACTGCTGCTGCTGCTGCCGCTGCTGCCACTGCTGCTGCTGTGGCTGTTGACAGATACACATCTGCAGGGAGGAGCCTCCAGCTAGAGGCAAATGTACATAGACAAGTGGGGAATGGGTATAAAGATGAGCTTCTTCTGCCCCGACGGGGCATCGCTGCTGCCAGTCTGTGTGTCGTAGTGCTTTCACTTCCATTGTACACGACGTTGAAGTAAAGCTCAGCAGGACTGCCCTGGACATTATAATTATTAAACATTACCTTGACCTACATTTATTTTAATGAGAAAAGTTGTTAAGCATTTCTCCCATTTGCCTTAAAGCTCCCGAGAGACTCAGTATAGGTTTAATGGCACACTTTCTTCATTGTTGGAGAAGGTTTAAATGGCACTGACAACAAACACAACCACAGCCTGGCTCCTGGTGGGTCTTTTGTGGTATGAAAAATGTTTTATGTTTTAAATGTTTTATTACAAACAGTTTAAGTTAATTTATGTTGTCTGGTTTAGGCATTATACAAACATTTTAAGTAATTTATGTTGTCTGGTTTAGGCATTAACAATATCAGCATTTAAGCAGTAACAGCAAGCTTTTCTGTATTTTGAGAGTGGCAGGAAGTTCAAACCCAAACTCGAGCTTTGATATTGCTATATTATGTTTGCTATTTGCCAAAAAAAAAACAAAACTATTTCTACATTAGGAGTCACCAACTGTAGTGGTTGGAAGGCCAGAATGTTCTTCACTGACATTTTAAAAGCCGGAAACTCAGATGAAATCAAATAAAATACCAGTCACATTTTTTAATTTATTTGATGTTTATTGGATTAGCAGGTTTGGACGGTTCAGTTAATTTCCCTTTGGGATCAATAAAGTATCCATCCATCCACCCACCCATCCATCCATCCATCCATCCATCCATCCATCCATCCATCCATCCATCTTTGTTAATAGTTTTGTACCACTTTGAATCAATGAAGGCTACAGCCCTGTCCTTCTTCCCCTCACACTTTTCTACCCTGTGGGCTTTCTATAGACTTTCTTCACTAGGTTTATTTAATGTAAATATTTACATTTTTGATTTTCTGGTTATCATTTCCTTGTTATGGGACTATGATGCAGGAGAGATGTTATGATTCCGTTTTAAAATCTGCCCCAAACTGTCTGCCTTGAATTTCATTACACGACCAGTTGAAGGGGAGCATTTGTTTTGGAATAAATAGTTTGTCATGTCATCAAGCAGCGGCGGAGCCACTGCTCAAGAGACCGTGTGAAATCATAAGTGGGGTTAGATTTTATATTTTTTCCTTTGCTGCAATATTGATCCAATACCTCAGGAAGCAGAAAAAGGTTGACCGTAAAAGTAAAAAAAACACAGAGCTTCGTAATGTTGAGGGTAATACACTGTATTTCACCACATTGCAGTCTCCTCATGTGTTGCACTGGTAGTAAACCATGGCTCCAATATAAGAGAAAGATGTAATGCAGTGGGATGTAGTTTATAAATCAAGGCTGTCCACCTTTGGTTTTTGTAAAATAGTACCCACCACTATATGATGATGAACGAACATCTTTAAACCAAGACAGAATGATATATCAGTTCCCACTTGGTGAGATGTACTTTCTCACAGCCACATTTCATTTGTTCACTGTGAAAGAAAACAAAAGGTTTTCTAACTTGTCACATTTTCTTCTTTAGGTTTTGTAAATTAAAGATCGACTGCTTATTGTTAACAACTCCCAGAGTCCAAGGTCTGGTCAGTAATGTCTGTGTCCTCAGACAGTGATCTTAACATCACAGTATATTTTAGTTCAGATAGCAGGACACTTCCATAATATTTTGTTACCCTCTTTCGGCAATGTTTTTTTATATCTTTTCTGAAAAGAATATAATTTTCTTTTAATTATAAGAGTCTTTTATCCTATCTTAAGACTAAGATTTGCTAACTTCGTGTAATTTTGCTAACCTCGTGTCATGCTAATGCTAAGCTATCTTGTGGCAGATTGCTAAACATTTTTTTTCTTCTTACTCTAAGTCATAGTATACACTAAGACGGACCAACTCTTGTCCAGAGAATCTTTTCTCCTGATTTCTAACTGTTTCTGTGACTGTATTTCTTAACCAAATTTTAGACGTTTTCGGAGATACCCGCTCACAGTTGTTTTCTGTCATATTTTTTACTGGTCCTTGAAGCCACTGGCTTTTACTTTGTGTTTCCTTTAACTCACAAAAATACAAACCATTTTTGCTCAAAAGAGTTGCACAGGATGCAGTTAAAACTAGAATCGAAGCATCGACTTTCACTTTAAAAGAGGCTTCATAAGATAAAAAACAAAAACGTTTAAAAAAAAACAACAATGGTGATGGAAAGAGACTTAACTGTTTCAGTGTAAAGCTGCTGTGCGTCTGTTCTGTCTGTAAGAGCTTTATATGTTTTCCCCCAGCATTTCGGCTCTGGGCCCCAAAATGAAGCCTATACTTCATTTTCTGCCTGTTTGCAGCGTTGACCTTTACCAATCTCTCTTGGCCCTCATCTCTGTTGAAGTGGGCTTTGTGCCCGACTGTGGATGAGCCTCTGAATCTCATTTAGCCTGTGTGATGATCTCTTTCTTTTCTCCC